TGTATCTGAAGAACAGGCATCCACACTGTTAGCTTTAAGAAGATCATGTGACTAAGAGTGCATTGTGATTATATTATCAATACAAACTAACTTAATTTAGCAAAGTTCACTCAAAAGTGGGCCAGTGTAGCTGGATGGGGGGGGGGGCTTCCTAGTGTGAAACTGGCCAGGTCTGAGGTAAGAAACACTCGTGAGAGAAGAGTGAGGCTTAAATCAACGATAATCTCTTAAAGAACACAACAAGATCTCGAGTATCTCCAAACCCAGCATGCACCGCTCTGCTCCCTGGCCTCTCCGAGCCTCCGGCGGAGTCGAACTTCATTGCACTTCCCCAGGCTCAACGAGTCCTCAGACAAAGCGAAAAATGTTCCCTGGCTTGCCATTCGCGCAGCCTTGACGTGGAGACCCTCGCAGTGTTTGAATTCAATGAAAAAGGTACATGATGTTTGACAGTCCAAACGATCAAATGAAATTCATTTCCCAGTAAGTCTTGTGCAACTTAAGAAAGCCCAAAGCCTCCTAATCTCCCCGGTCTTCAAAAGTCACAGTCTGGCAGGTTTTAGGGAAGAGGTTTTTCAGTATTTAGCCAAATACCAAAGAAAGCACACAGTATATAGCGCGAAAGGAAATTGATCGCAATGGTTCTAGATTGATTTAACTGTGCATAATGTTCTATGCTTGTAAAACAATATCACCAGGAAGAGGTTAGTAGAATTTTCTAGCAATATGACTAGCAGTAGACACCGGGCACAAGTGTCAGTCTCCTTGATTCAGTGTCAAGTCCCTGTGACAGTCGGTGTCGGACACGTTAGCCGCAGCAGTTTTTTATTTTTAAATCTGCTTTCTGAGGCCAAAATCTACTTTTACTTGAGGAAATGGTGACAGGTACAATTAGAGGAATTCACAGAACTGTGCTTATGGTGGGATTAAGATGAAAAGGCCAGTCAGTCCGCGAGGCTTCACACAGTTCACTCTGGCTTTTGTCTACCTCTGTTGCGATGGTTTAGTTGCTGAAGCTGTTTATCAGCTCGACATCAAGACTCAGTGGTTCCTCATGGGTTTCCCATTGTGTGACAGACAACAGGCGAAACTTCAACATTCACGATTCAACATTCTTTATTTGCCTTTTGCACATCAGTATATGGGAATTCTAACTCACGCCATGCAGTCAATAACATGTAACATGTGACAGGATTAGGCAGCACAAAACAACACAAAGGCACTCGCAAAACATCACAGTAGACATATAACAAAGAGCTTCAGAGGTACTTAAAGTATTCTTGGAATTAATAAGAAATAAATGGAAGATGTGGCTGAATAAAGCAGAAATATATTAAATAAATATCAAATAAATTAAAGATATGCCAGAAATAGAAAATATGCATAGTGTTGCTCTGACCAGTAAAGTGTACTGAGTATTTTTGGACGTTGGAGTATCATTGCTCTTTCCAATAAAGTGTACTGAGTACTTTTAGAGGTTGCTCTGTATTGAGTTGCTGGAGTACAGAGGGGCAGAAACTGTTCCTAAACCAGCTGGTGACTGTCCTGATGCTGTTGTATCTTTGGTAGGACCTCAGTTTGGGGAGCAGTCAGTGACTGGGGTGAGCTGGGTCCTGATTCTACAATTGATGTATATGGACTCTGAGGAAGAGTAGAGCCAGTGATGTGTTGTGCATATAGCACTACTCTTTGCAATGATCCATCCATCCATCCATCCATCCATCCATCTATCCATCCATCCATCCATCCATCCATCCATCCATCCAGGCAGCATAGAGCAGGAGATAGGAAACATTCTGGATGGGATGCCAGAACAATTAAAAAAAAAAAAAACATACATGACCAGTGTCTATAAGCTGGCAGGCGTTCCTCTGTGCACTGGTGTCCCTGCTGGGCCAGTTTCCTCTCTCTGTGCTTGCAGGGAATGTGTGTTGAATTAGCCGAAGGAGAACCTTCATACTTAGGGTTTCAGTGCACTGGGCCTCTTTGTAGCAATAAATCTTAAATGGCCTTCCTTCCTGTGTAGCAGTTTCGCAGAGATTACAACTAGAAGACTTATTGTTAAGGGAAAGGATACGGAATTTTAATGGGCATCTGTTGTTTTGTGCATTTCAACTTTGATCTATACAGAGATGTCAAGGGTGCATCGAATTTCTCTCTTCTGAATTTTGTGCATATTCATGGTTTTCCACAGCTTTTAACAGACTTTTTTTTAGTTAACTCTTGGACCTGTTGGTCAGTTATTTATATTTGTCTGCTCACGCCCATCAAACTCCCTGCTAGCCATCTTGCTCTTCGCTTACTCCTTCATAAGGTGAGTAGTGCATGTAATATTATATTTCAGTCAGTAAAAACAAGATGGCTGAAACACTGAAGGCAAGCGTTAGCCTCTACCTATTGAAGGCCAAGAGTGAAGCTTTCTGACTTCTAACATGATGCTCTTGGCACATACAGTATATCCTTGGATTTACCATTGTGAATTCCCAGTGGTGACATAAAGCCCAAACATTAGGATTAAACTGGTGCAGTGATTCCATATTCCACATCTCGCTGCTTCCAATGTTCTTTTCATGTTCTTACCTTACAGAGGTGGGTAGTCCAGGTCCAGAGAGTAAAAGTCCAGACCAAGATTTTGTTTCAACCAACTAGTTGAGTACTCTGTGACTGAGACTCTTCATACTCAACTGAGTGGTTGAAACAAAATCTTGGTCTGGATTTTCACTCGTTGGGTCTGAATTACCCACCTCTGTTCTCTTGATTGGTGTGGGATATCTCTCACAGTTGGTGCTGTTCAGATCTCACCCGACTGGAATTGACCCAAAAAACTTCCACCATACACATCCTAGGATTATCTCCTCAGAATAAGGGCTTTACTGTATTTCTTCTGCCCAAAACCACTTTTCTGAAGGAAAACCTTGCCCAGGGGGGTTAGCCTGTACAATACTGTAGATTCTTTAGCAAAGAATTCAACTTGAGGTATATTTTATATGATGTATAATTGATTTATAGAATGCATTGTGTGCTCTATAGAGACTTTTCTAGACTATTCCAGGGGGGTATCCAGAAAAGTGCAGTTACCTGACGGGTCCTATTAGGGCTGATTTAATGTCCCCTTGAGACATCCTTGCTAAGTTGTTCCTCTGTAACGAAACCATGGCGGTTAGCAGAAATCCTGGTTACGGTTGGCAGGAAGACCGAAGCCTGGGGTTCTGCTTGCTGCCTGAGACATTTTACACAGCTGGAAGGCCCTGCCAATGTAGATTTAAGCAATTGTTTGTCACTGTAAAGCATGTGTTCAGTGGGGCGATCACAGTTACTCGGTACCTCCCAAATGGGCTCCCCGTGGAAGCTTCCAGAAGGTATGTCTGTGCGACCGTTTGGTAAAACTGGTGAATCCTTAGCAGTGGTCAGTGCCTAGTAAAAATAAGATTTGTTGATGCGAACACCTGTTCCTGCAAATCAATGTCAAGAAAAACATATCGATTCCTTGGCGTTCCTTTTAACCTATTTAATATATAACCTCCCAACCCAACCCCCCACATCTGTACATCATTCCATGGCAAGCCTCCTTCTCAAGCACACGTTTCATACCATGGCTTAAAACCGGGCCTTAAAGGCAATCAGAAATGAAGGTACAAAACCTGCCCGCACCCATCCCCTCCACTCTAGGATCCTCTGTCCTCCCTAACCAATCAGCTCCACCCTCCTGGACTCAGACCTTGGTGCAGTCAATGTCGCATTCACTGGCCTGATAACCTGTCTCAGGATACACACTGGGACAGAATATCAGCTTTTTATCGTACGTGTAGCTGGGCCTGTCGTGAGGGCCGGGCCCCCAGTGTGGATACCATCTTAGCTCTCGATGAAGTATGTTGTGTTTTTTTCTGGCTCATAGCTTCTTATAACTTGTTGCCTTTCATTATATGCATTAAGTGCCTCTGTCTGCATGCTGTTGTGGATAAAAACACCTGATAAATTAATGCTAACAGCCAGTAGCTGTAAAAGCAAATCACTGCTCACTGACTTACATCTTGTCGCCATTTCCAACAGTTTACCAAATATGTGACCTGGGCGTTTTCACATATTAACATAGATAAAAAGTGACTTTTGACTACTATCAGTATATCATTTAGTCAGCGTTCCGTACAGGAAAGATGGATTACTAGATATATAACATCTTGAGATTGCTTACAGTGAACTTTTATGACAGATGATAGCGGTTGTTCTGCTGTTGTAAAACTGTTTTTAAAAACTGCTCATTAAAGTTTGAGTAGCATCACTTCAACAAATCTGCTATCATGCATCAGTAACTGCATAGCAAGTGCAATGTCTGTGTGGGTCAGAAACCTGAAATAAAACTCTCTTCAGATTTCCAGTGGTAGCTGAATGCAATAGAGTCCTGGAACAACCTTTGTTAATCTTTGGTTCATGAGTTCGTGTGCAAACAAAGCTGCATTTTAACTGGACTGAATGGGTGCACATTTTGTTTTGTTGAATTGCTGACATCACAATTTGATTTTTTCTTATATATCACTTTGGTATGCATTAATTTTGACAGATTAACACTTCAAAAATAATGACTCAGACTTAAAGCTTAAAAATTAAAATATGCTTTTGGCTCAAATTTTGTTAAGCCTGAATGTGTTTTTGATTAAGCTTAAATGTGTTAATCCGAATTCGGGTATGTATGACTACATTTGTGTTTTTATTTTAATGCGGTATTTTGTTTTTTAGTAAACTGTGTCCATGCAACCTGAAACTTTGCAAATATGTTCTGTAATTTGGTCTGAATAGTATTTTATTATTGCACAAAACAAAGCGCAGAGGAGCCCTTGAATTTTGCAGACTTGGACCAAAATTGCTTCATAAAAATATATATTGTAGTTGTACATAACCAAGCTGCAAAGCACTTTACCATTTGCTGTAAAAGGCTTTGATTCCAAATATAATATTTTCTAAGGCCAGCTGTCATACTATCATTCACATGAAAGCAACACATGGAAAGAAAGTCAAATGTTTATTGAGCTTTTTTATGTATTTACAGCTTTAATAGGCCTTTAGATGAATATCTGCTTTTCATTTTTACTCATTTTTATGACATTCTACACATTCCTCACTGTTTCTATTTGATGAACATAACTGCATCAATTTTGGACACATAAATAAGGTTATCTACCACGCACTGAAAACACATTCAATAATCTTAATTATTCTCGATATTGTATTTCCACACAACTTCAAAACATATCGGTTTCCCTTACCTATTTTTAAAAACATCTCATCCTATTAGAATGATTAAACAAGTAATGATGAATTATCATGAGCGACCATGAATTCATCAGCGGCTCAAAGGCTCAGAACCATCGAGGGGCCCACAGGGAGAGCAGGGGCTCTGTGTTCACGTCTCTCCTCGTACAATTTTTATATACATTTATCCACAATGTGCAGCTGAAACTCACATTTCAGTCCTTTTATCCCTGTCCCCAATCCCCTCCCCATGTCACCACACAAAAACCTGCTGTGTGTTTAACACAAATCGCAGAGGTTCCAGCATATGGCCGTAACGATGGCATTGAGAAAAAAATGATGTGTTTTCATTGAGAAGTCTCTACAGTCCTGGTTGGAACTGACCAGACGTGGCAGGGAACAGTTAGCCAGGTCAGCTCTGCATATTGTTGCAGTGCAGCTTCCAGAATCTTCCACCGTGCCATTTCATGCCACTGCTTGGGCTTGAGTTCCTTGGGAGCTGCCTGCACACGAGTCACCCGCACCAGTGACCAGGGAGGAATGGGCCATGCCAAGTCCGGGAGGTAAGAAACTAACAATTAACTCCATTAGCAAAGTATATTCAGATCATTCTAAAGTAAGAAAACTCAGTTCACATTAGGTTTATATAATGCAATGAGTTTTCCGAGTTTTTTAATTTCAGTTTGTTATAAGGAAACACAAACATCTGTAAGATCGCTCACTCCTTTTTCACTAGTTCCTCTTTTCTCTGTTTAGCTACAGACCCCTTTAGAAGGAGGCAGAGAAGAAACAAACATGTGAAATATAACTAGAAGAGCACTGAAGGGCAGAAACCCAACAAATCCATTCACACCATGTGAACTGACATCTGAGACGGTTGTCCATAATGACGACTGTCACAGGTGCTGCCGCCCTGCTGGCTACCTGTGGAACTGCCGATCACATGTGCAGCATCCATGCTGTTGGGCAGATACTGGCGCTCTCCAAAAGCTCCGCCGTGGGAGGGCGGTAGAAAGCCCGCCTGGGCCGGCGTCAATTTCTCTGGGCTTGGGGCCAGCCTCGGGGAGGTAGGGAAATTGTATCCATAAAGGTTGTAGTGGCCATGGAGAGAAAAAGCATTGTATGATCCCTGCTGTGCGTGGTGCCCACTGCCGAACACGTGGGCTGAAGAGGAGGAGCCGGAGGCGGAGGTGGTGGAGGGGGTGGGTCCCGAGGCTGAGCCGCCTGCTTGCATCATGTACTGCAGCTGTGGGGCGGGGAAGGACCCCAGCTGGCCGCTGTAGGCATCCATCTTGCCACCGGCGCCACCGGGCAGGGAGGTGTGGGCGACGCCAGGCATCCCACTGGCGATCATGGAGGAAGTCCTCTGCGGCAGGAAGGTTTCCGATGGCTGGGAGGCGACTGCCCCCCCAGGCTGCAGGCGACTGTATGAGCTCTCGGCCAGGCCGCCGTAGCCTTGCAGGGCAGCGACATTACCGCGAGCGCAGGCGGGGTACTCAGGCAGCCCCAGGCCACATAGCTGGCTCTCTCGGCAGCCCATGTTGAATGTGTTGGGCGCCAGGTGGAAGGTGGGTGGGGAGCAGGACGGGGACAGCAGGTGAGAGGGGCCTGATGGGGAGGGGGTTCCTGGGCTGGAGGTGGTCGGGGAGGTGCCTGTGCTTCCCCCTGTGAAACATGAATAAACACAGCATTACATACAGCACTATGCACAGTGTGCATACACACAACACTATACACAGCATTACACACAGCACTATGCACAGCACGCCCACACAGCATTACACGCAGCACTATGCACAGCGCGCACACACAGCATTACACTGGAGTGAAGAACGAATAAAACAGAAAAACACCAACAACAAAACAGTGAAGCTCCCACATAGCCATTAATCACAGGCCACCGAAAAAACGCTGAGGCAGGAATGGAAACCAGTGAAAGGAATGACCCCCCCAAAACTAAAATATATGTTTTTTTTTTAGTTGTACAAGAGACTGTCGTTGCTGTACTAAATACACAAAGGGTTGCCGCGAATGCCAGTTGTTTGGGAATGCTGCCAGACACTAAAGGGACTAATAAAATAAATACAACCAGCAGGATTACACACAGCCTGGTTGCATTTTATAGTAAGCGTGCTGTCGTTAAACGCTTCAGATTCTGAATATTGGAAGAGACTCGTAAAAACTAAAAAATAATGTTATGACCCATGCGCTCCATGAAAATTAGTTATTTCAGAATTTTGTTTTGTTTTGATATGTGTCCGTTTAAACTGCAGCACGACGGAGGACAAAACAGTGATGAGTAAGATTTGCGGATTGTAGATTTGCGGTGCCGAACGGCCAGAGATACGATCCAGCCCGCGCGACCGATGACGGGAGGAAGCGTGACTTCATAACGCGAAACTGCGACTTTTAATTAACATTTAATTCGTCCGGAGAATCATCTGATAATAAACAGATGTTGCAACGTGGTAAGAATGTGCTTTTTGTGGAAATGGGAACAAGGAGTCCACACTCTATTTTATTACTCCCAGAAATAATTTAAAGTTATAAATTACTGAAATAGTAAAAAAAAAAAAAAAAAAACATGGCGGGTTCCAGCATAACGCGATCCTTGGGGAGGGATCCTCCTCAGGTAATTCAGTGCCCTTAACGAAGGACGGCGCCGCGCACAAATGCAGTTTGAATGTGGGGTTTGCCAGCATGCCTTTGCGCATGGAAATAAAAAGTAGGTATTTATGCACATGTGGAACGATCCTACATATGCAAGCCTTACATGAGCGCATCCAGATCCAGCACGTCAGATTTCTGGACAAAATAATGACAGCTGTGAGAATCAGTCATAGAATCTTTTATAAATGGGCCTTTTTCCTGGAGCTCAGCGTGTTGATAAAAAAGCTTACTCAAAATTTGCAATATTGGTAATGAAGTAATGCATGATTGTCCTGGCACAAGGCTCAATATGACTTAGTTAAGAGCACAGGGTAAAATCTGTCCCTACATTGGCAGGGATGCACAGGGTGATGTCATGGTTTGTTAGTCCATGTCTGGGACATGGGTGTTGCGGACAGAATCTTCCCTGGCTATATTTGTGTGAGTATACTTAAGATTATACCGCTTGTGCACATTTTGCTGGAGGTTAATTAACTTTTAATCAGCTTTGATGAGTTTGATAGGAAGCAGATGTCATTTTGGACAAGGAGTTAGAGTAAAGTCATTGCGGCCCACGGGAGAGAGCTGAGATTGTTACAATACAGCTGTCAAAATGGCAGCCAGCTCTGCTCGCCGAGAGCTCAGTCCCACGCCAAGCACCTTGCTGTTTCTGCATGTTGGTGAAGTCCTCAAATGTCAGCGTTCGCACTGGAGGTCTCCAGAAGGCGTAGGTCTCCATGATGGCCTCCAAGCCAGTCCTGCAGTTACGGGGGAAGAGAAGGCTTAGAGTGGCGGAGGCTGAGCCCTGTTTGAAAAACTGCGGTGTTTTCAAAGAGCTCCATCTTCTTTTGCAATCCAGTTGTCTTTCCCTGTGATTATATTTCCCTGCACTCTCAAACAAAGGAGTGTGTGTGTGTATGTGTGTGGGTGGGTCCTCACAAAGTGATATAAACATGTTATTTTTACATTATGGGGACCATATTTTCAGTCCTCACAACAGGAAACTCGGTATAAAAAGTTGTAACTGCAATTGAAGCTAAAAATGCCAAAAATCTTGTATTTTGTTTGGTGACTTACGGTTAAGGTTAGGGCTGGGTAGGGGTTAAGGTTGTGATTGTTGGGATTTGGGTTTTTCCCCATAGAAATTAATGGAAAGTCCTAACAATGATATTAATAGAAATGTGTGTGTGTTTGTTTTAAGAGAGAGGCAAAGCAATCATCTATGAAAGAATGACAGTTAGGATTGCTCTGTTTCCATAACAACCAAGAAAATCTATTACTGGGACATAAAATTCTTGTAAATTTCCATGCACAGAATTTGCCTGACAAGTTGATATGAAACACATAACATAATAGTTAACAAAGCGTCGCTAAATGGGAGTTTTATGCTACAGTAAAATATAAAAGAAGAGAAGCAGCGCTGTCTTTTCAGTCCTGCATTTGTCATAAGATTTCACTTATAAAAACAGACCACGTGTGTGTGGATGCGAGACTACACTCTGCTTTCATTGTGAGCCTCGCTGCAGTGAAATCTGAATGAGAGTGCATAAATCAGGAGCTCTATTGTTTGAGAAATGAGGGAAAGATGTGTCAGATAGTGGCTGTAATGAGCCCCAGATGGCCCTACGCTCATATGCTGTGAGCACACTTCCCCGTCTCCCGGTTACACCATCAGTCAGAATCCGATCTCAGACGGGGCCAGGGCTGGGGGCGGGGTACCTCCCTGCTGGCCTCGGGCTCTTGAACCCCCAAACAAACGTATAAAACAAGCACATGTTGCCTTTTGTTTACTCTGTTCCCTTACCTGTTCCTTCCAGAATCTCGGAATCCTTTCGCGAATGGATTCCGGTCAATTTTTAGTCGGGTGATCTGTGAAATGTCAGAAAACAGAACCGTCAGAAAACTAGCGGTTTACGCTGTCTGGACACCTGTTTGCTGCAGCACACCAGCTGAACGTCGCTGTCTGTGGCCACTGAAAGGTTGGGAATCATTGCTGTAGGCCAAGGTGACAACGGCAGGCACAAACGAAGCGGAGTTCAGCCTTGCTTCCACACACAGACCGTCGCACACGCCGCACCATGCATACTCTCAAATAGCTGAGACATTTCATATCTAAACAACTATTCTGGCATCTCAGAAGTAACAACTGCATTTTTAATTAATCTGAAGAGACGTTCCCAGCAGGAAAGTCTCACCTGAAGACCTACAGTGTTGTTTCACCTGAAGTATCTGTACAGATTCCTACAACAGCCAGTGAAAGGAAATGAAGCTTTAGACTAGATATTTTTTTTTAGTTTTGTTGCATGTAGTGAGGAAAACCAGTGTCTCCAAATTGCTGATAGAGTATGACAGTATTTGTGAGTGTGTGTGTATCTGCCCAGTGATGGACTGGCTCCCCAGCCCTATGCCCTGTGCGACCTGGGATAGGCTCCAGGCCCCCCCACATGACCTCGACCAGGATAAATGATTTTAAGATGGATGGATGGATAATTTAGCAAAAGGGCTATAAATCACTGTTTTCTGCACCTGTAACAGACCATGCTTTGTGTCTATCCCTGGCATCCATAGCGAGTGTGTATTGCACCCAAGATAACCACCCCAGCCAAATCTCCAGCAGCCTGTGGGTCTTTTTAAAGCTGCTTTTTTTATCTATCCGACATATTCAGAGTGCCTGCCTGCAGTGTCCCAGCGAAGGGCTTGGGGCACAGTTGTGCTACACTCACCTGTTGGTTCTGGTAGGCAGTGACAGTCGTGAACACGGTTTCGGGAAAGGTGAAGGTCTTCACCCCCTCGCCGCTGGGGATGGATTTGGTGGAGGACAGGTTGCTGCTGAAGTCCTTTCGGATCACGTGCACCCGTGGCTGGTATTTGTGCATCGAGTGTAGGATGATCTGGAAGCAGAGGGACCGTTGGCGAGTCACAAAAGGCTGACAGCGTCCCAACAAGGGCATGCGTACACCGCCAGTGTGAACTGACACCCCAAGTCAGGGGCAGCCAGTCTTATCCAGAACGGGCTGCTGTGTATGTGGGTTTGCATTGCAACTCCCTAATTAGATGACTAATTAGAGGACTGATTGGTTGAAGGGTCCTCACACCTGGGTTTGAACAGCCGACCTAAAGGTTACCCCAAAGACCTGCAGACACACCGGCCCTTTGTGGATAAGATTGCCCACAACTTTTGTGCATTTCCAGTGTCCAAAAATTAAAGAGAAAACAACATTTTCAGAAATTGGAGCGACGTGGAGAATGTGTCCTGCTCTGGCTGTAACCAGAATAGCAATTTATGCCTTAATTTCCACATTCTGTCATACTATGGTATATTGCTGACATCTGGTTTTCATGCAAATCCTTTTCCTTAATATATGTTCTTAATTGATTAATTGTTCAATTCACATTTACTTTTCATATAGTTTTTTTTTTTTTAGAACCAAAAAGTCTGAAGATTACAGCTCTTTCTTCCCTGTGCCTGATTCACTGAACAAACTAAACTTTACTTTTGTGATTTCATATAAATGATGAACACGGAGGTTCTGAAACACCTGCTGCAATTTACTGTCCTTGATATACCTTTGTGGTTAATTATGCAGCACTCACTTTCTGATCAGCAAAGCTACGGTCCCCTCAGTGCTTAACTGCTGTTGCCCAAATTATCTCCGTTTTTGTTGGACAGATATTTGTTCATGCCTGATATTGTTCATGTACATTTTAATATCCACAAAGACTCTGGGTTATGTTGGAATGACAAGCTAAATGGTCGTGAAACCAAAGTGAAAGCTCTGTGTTAAAGTGAAACACACACTTTCTACTGGGAGCCATAAAAAGGTATATGTGAAGATTGAAATGTAAAGATGGTGATATAAAGATAGAGATGTACAGACTGAGAGGTAAAGATGGAGGAGTAAAGATGGAGATGTGAATATGGCATGGCCCACTCACATGGCCTTGATCGTCCAGCTCATTGTTGGTCAGCTTTAGCTTGTCGAAGCTAACCACCTGCCTCATCCAGGTGTCCCCGGAGGCCAGCGAGTCCGGGTGGATGTAGACGCGGGGTGGCACGGGGGAGTCGGCGTTTCCTGCCACCATCCACTTGGAGCTGTGGTAGACATACCTGGAGGATGGGGTGGGGGCCGCAGAGAGACACAGATTAGCTAAGGATACAGAGCCTGAATCGCAGCGGGAACTGTGACAGGGTGCCTGGGTGTTCGAATTAGGGAGCTGCACAGGAATGGGGAAAGTGGTAATAACGCAGATATCCTCGGTAATCCACGGGAAGGGGGGGGGAATGAAAATTCCCATGGTAACACCAGGAGTGGACATGGACGTTACGGCGTTCCCACAGGGATAGTAATACAGGCAGTCCCCGAGTTAAGAACGTCCGACTTACACAAAACTCATACCTACGAACGGACTGTCATAAAATGTTACGTTAAAATTTTTAAATACAATGGTTTGTAATTATGAATGCACATCCTTGTGACGCTCATGTAAATGTTGTGCAGCTTCAGTGGTTCGTCAGCTCAAGGTATAGTACAGTATGGTAAATATATAATATATACTAAGACAAACATTTAACTAACTGACTATATAAGCACCGTTTGTACCTGTTCTGACTTACCTACAAATTCGACTTAAAGACAGAGTTAGGGAATGGATCTCGTTCATAACTGGGAGACCACCTGTAAAATTCATGGTGACATTCCGGTAATGGTAATGACATTGATTGCAAATGCATATTCTTATGTATGCCATATTAATTATGAATCCTTTTGTGGATGTATCCGTTCTCACCTCAGCACTACCTGGTGGCTGTGCCAAGTGTGGAACTTAATAATTAAGATATTTAAAGGCAAATATGGATATGTTTAATTTTACACTGTACTGATGGTGCATGCTGGGATGGAGGGGGCATGGTTTAGATGTTCACGGGGACGGACAGGGATGGGGGCAGATATCATCCCCGTGCAGCTCTCTAGTTCTAATTCTTATTTTGGCTGGGAGGGGGGGGGGTGTCATTTTTAATTACTCACATTAGCTGTATGTTAGCTACACAACAAACTACAGCAGTAATCTATATCCAACCCCTCCAAAAACAAAGCATTCCTTCTGAGGACTGTAAGACATGAACTATGGATCCCCCCCCCCACCAATCACTCCCACACCCCCTTGGCAGCTGTTTGACTTTAGTTCTGGCCGTGCGAGCAGTTGAAAGCGCTTAGCTCTAACGCCTTTTCCACCGAGCCACCACCGAGGGATAAAACACGGACAGACGGCCGTGTTTGGTCTCTTTGTTGCTGTTCATGTGAATTAAATGCCCACCTCCCAAGAGGAGGCATGAAACGTCTCTAATTTCCTGCTCGGAGAGGTGTTTGGGGTTATGCTCTGTGTAGCAGGGAGAGACAAGTGAAACCTTAGCTTGAAACTTTGATGGAAATCTGATTAGTTTCCTTTCATCCACCATAAGTTTGCCATCTGGCACAAACAGTGGAGATCGTACTTTTACATTACAGCCACTCGGTGCGATACGATCAGGCTTCACGCGACGCCCTGTCCGGTCCACTTCTTAAATAAGCAACTGACAGAGAGATAAAACTCTAAGAAACACACACACACACACACACACACACACACAGTCCATGTACTTTATCTTTATGGGGTCTCTCCATTAATTTCAATGGGCATAAACCATAATCCCAACAATGACAACCTTAACCCCTACCCAGCCCTAACCTTAACCATAAGTAGCTTAGCAAAATATAGTAGTTATGGCATTTTTAGTTCTTTAATTGCCTTCACAGAATTTTATGAAATTGAGGTTATCCTTGTGGGGACCAAAAAATGTCCCCACAAATAAAAAGTTACAGGGTTTTATCACATTGTGAGGAAATTTGTTCTCCACAATGTAATAACTACAAACGCGCACACACACACACACACACAAAAGTGCACGTGTATGAGCACACATTCATGCAGACTGATGACCTAGACAGACATCAGACTGGATTGCTGCATGGAAAATGTAAAAATTCTGATACTGCTGCACATGTTAAATGTTTACTCTCCAATATTTACTTCTAAATTTCTGTACAGTGTTTAGATCGATAACAAATAAAATGTGGTATATACCATGTCACCTGGAATGGTTTATGAAAATTGAATAAGTGTCATTTAGTGCAGATACTTATTATAGTAAACATGAGAAAAAAACTTTATTATAGAAAAAAACAATATTTCCCTCAAAAATTTTGGAGATTAAAAGCAGGTTCAAAAATCTGTTTAGTGGGAAATCCAGACAGAATATTCAGCCTCATATCTGTTGGATCAGTGAAACAAATTAAAAAAAGCTTCAGGACATAAACCATCTAAGGTACCATAGCAAACTGACACAACTGGATTCACAGTGAGGACTGCTGGTCGTCAGATTTCTGTCGCCGCTACCCTGTGACCTGTGCTGTCATAAGCTCCGTTCCCCACCTGTATCTCTTGTTGTCCACTGGAACAATATCCATTGCGACGTAGTACTGCTGACGGGGATCCAGGCCGGAAATCTTCACCCTCATGGCCGGAAACATCCTCCTGAATATTTTTAGGAAAAGCCAGTTACTGGAAAAGATTTCCTTTTCAAAAAAAAAAAAATAGATGCAAATGCATGCAAACCCAGCCTGATGAATTAGCATTTTAACTGTAACAAAAAAGGTCCTCTAATTAAAAGCTCCTCCATGTTTTGTCTTGTGTGATAATTGCTACCAAATGGCTGCTTTTTTCCCAAAACTTATTTGCGACAGAGCTGCTCCTTCCGTAGATCAGTGAGTCTGTAGCGGGAACGAGGCAGTGCAATCACAAGACATAGTGTCTCTCTTTGGGATCTGTACTCTATTACGATGTTGAATTCAAAACAATTAAACATGTATAAACCTCTATTTAGCTATTTCTAAAAGTATTGCTCAATAAAATCCCTGTAAAATCTGATTTTGCCCCTTTTATCAGCGTGAAAGAGGGACTCATACTTCTAATAATCCTGATTCTGTTGACATTTAATGTATGACAGATTTTTATTAGCGAACAAGGTCTGAAATAAGAAAAGGAAAGGTTCTGGGACATCTGGAATAACACTGGATACCCATCAGCTATTCCAGGCTTTGTCAGTCTGGAGCTAAACAATGCCCAGGAATTTCAAAAATTTTCTGCAAATTTATGGATAAAAGTTAGGAACTCATGCTTATTAAAATGTACAGAATCCGGAGTGTTTTATGACACATTCTCATTTCATTTTGCTTTAAAATATTTCAGTATCATAAATCTCACCTTGAAAATGAAAAGAGAGGGAGAATTTAATGGTTACTGAATATTTACAGACCCATTGTTAGCAGACATAAAATATAGACAGCCTACCAAAATAACCTTTCATATACAATGATCGGGGTAACATAAATTTCAAAGGGCAGTGGTCGGCATAAATTCCATTCATGAAATTCAATTATTCATGAAATAAGGAGTATCGATTTCAGCCGCATGTTATATATGGCATAAGTTATGGTAGGATGATCAGCGGTGTCTGATAAACGTGCATAAGGCATATAATTGAAAACATGAATATTTATAACATAAGTATGCTTCTTAAAATAAGTTTTAATGGGCTACCTACCATATATATATATACATATATATGTATGTGTGTGTGTGTGTGTATATATACAATTTAGATGCATAAACTAAGACTAACTAAAATATATACAATCTTTATTGTTCATAAGAAGTTCATATAAAAATGTTTTATTTAAATGTCTGAACAAAATCGAATATATCTACCGGCTAAATGAAAGAAGGAGATGTGTTATTAATGAGGAGTGTTTATGATTATAGTAACATTTATATTTAATTTGATAGTCATTAGTCAAATTATATTTAATTTGATAGGCATTAATCAAAAAATGCTTAACCTACATGTAGTTTTTCCATGTAACACGAATGCTTTGGATATTGCAAAATTCATTTAAATATTGTCACTTTGTTAAAATTTACTGAGGATCATATGGATTACTAAATTCATTATACCACCAATATAAAAAATATGTCTGAAATAACTGTATATATAACACTGCATTGGAAAGATGAAAAAGAATTAAAATATATAATAACAATAGAATAAATTAAAAACATATATAGAATAAAAAATATGCTCTTATTAGCATCAAAATAGTAGCATTATGCCAACAGCTATTACCTATAAAAAAGTAGCGTCATGTATTTCTAAACTGTTTACCGTAAACTATTAATAAAACCAATCTTTATTTGTATATAAATGAAACTACGCATGTAGAGGTTTTTTACCCAATACTATTCAGTCATTTTATTTGATAACGTGTTTTCAGATTGTATTTTTTTTTATCTGCCATATATCAGTTTTAATGACACAGAAAAACTGCAAGGGCTGTTATGCATGGAAACAATTCTAACATCTGTTTGAGAGTAAAATCATACATTTAAAGGGATATATCCGGCTCTCCTACCTTGAGGTGGACCGATTCTGTAAGTCAAATTACCTGCTCTAGTCATAGAAAATAAGGAAAATTACCCCTCCCACAAAAAGTATATTTCAATTGAACCAGCTCCAACCTTAAACCCCATACTGACTGATATTACCAACAGCACACAGAACATTGCAGCCCAGTACAAACCCAGTTTGGTCTGTTCCTGCACAGTGCTGGTCAAACGTCCAGAGTTCTTACCCCCATGTGCTTTGAATAAGAGACCCTGCACCACAACCAGTGGAGGGGCGTTTTCTGACAAAAATTAATGATCAGATGTGCCCCTGTAGCCACACAAACACTCTCTAGTTCTTATATTCTGCCCGCTGTGACCCAGGGACATGCTTTCAATAGAAAGGGAAAATTATTATCGTTTGCTGAATTTTACTGAGAAACTTTAAAACACCATATGTGCACATGGATATTTGCATATGTCACATTACACGTGATCACGCACACACACATATATATATATATAGAATTACAGTTTATAATGATCACAGATTAACCTGATTGTATTGTAGATTTATTAATTTAGATGTGATGCATGAATCAATTTGAAGGAGGCAAGAGCATTTAAACTTGGGGTTTTTATTATTTATAATTTTATTATTTATTTAATATTTAGCTTCAGCGTGGTGAGATTTTCCTCGGGTCTTGTGCTGGGTGTTACCTGCCCGCTTTGGTAATGATCATCTCCGTGCCGATGTCGTGGAAGCGCTTCCAGAGGTCGGCACACTGCAGCTCTACCTGGACCTCTTCCATGGAGGAGGGTGGCGAGGCATCGCGGGCCGCGGGGCCCAGGTCCGATGGAGAGCCGAACGAGCACGACATCCCGTCTGCCAGGCCCTCGCAGTCTGAGCCGGGACTGGCTTCTGAATCTGTCCGGGCCGGAGGGAAGAAGGTTCAGACGAGGCCCAACACAGGCGCCGAATTAATCGATTCTGCTGCCCAGTATCCTGCTTTCATCTTAAACGGAATCATCTGCTGCCGCAATGTGTAGCTACGCGACCGTTTCAAACCACGTGACGGTTTGGTGGATGTGGCGCGTTAGGCCATGTTTCCAAGTTAGAGTAGATTTAGCTAATGTGACCCTTGGGGAAGGACAGAGATCCAAATACACAAATTCCTGGAGGGAATAGCTAAGGTCAACCCTAATGACTACTGTAATATTAGCAGTGATTCATAAACACCAGGCCATGAATGAAAACTCACTGGGCAAGAGTCCGGCCAGAACAAAGCAGGCAATTCTTCACACAGAGGATGATGGGGGATTGATATAAGATTCCTAGAACCGCAGTGGACGCAGCATCAATAAGTCTGCCAACACCTACATATTATATACCCAGAGTAGCAGGACGCGCTGGCAGACTGCCTATTGTTTAAGACGCTCCTTATGTTCAGTTGTTCTTAAACCCAGTTCCAGAAATATAGTTAGGAATTTTATTTCATTTACATTGACTATATTGAGGCTCTAAGATGATCCTAAGGTAAGTGCCACTTGACGGGACCAGAAAACGCCGTATGGCTACTCTACATCCCAGTAATCTTCATCATTGATAAATATTTGTTTTGCCATGCAGTCCTGATCGTCTGCAATTATCACGTCACATTGCTTTAGTTAAGCCATAACTGTGTGACATGTAGCCCCAGATCCCGCAGATCATCTACTAAAATAAATATTTTGAAAACCCAACAGCAAACATGGAACTCTTTAGTGATGCTTGTTTGACGCAGTCCTTTTCAGCAAAAGGGATAACCTTTCTTAAATGCTTAGAGAAAGATATTACATATGATGCCACGTGTAATTTCAGCTCCAGTGGGTTCCCAGTATTTACTGACATTTTGCTTTAATGTATTTGAGTGAGGGGTGGGGGGGTTAATAACATTTAAATACAGAGCTGGCCTATTGATAATGCATTTGCTACCAAATGAAAATGGAAATGAATTGGCTACCAAACCCTAGGAGCTGCGTCTACGTTGCCGATAATCATTACGATGTGAATGAAAGTCAGCTGACAAAGATGGCAGATTTCGGGTATGCCTGTCAATGGCAGAATTCAGTGCTGCAGGTGCACCCAACTCTGCCAAGCTGTACCAAAACTCAGAAGTGTGGAGAGGTTCTCCATCACAATATGTTAAGTATTGGGAGACCGTCACAGAGTCTAAAGGTGATGATACACAGGACAACTTCTTGAGCAATGTTGCTAGGCAGTTACCAACCAGATGAGACAAAGGGCAACTCATCTGGATCCGGATGATCGCGAAAAGTCGCTCACCACTAATCAAAGTTTTTCAAATAGAAATTTGTGGCCCAATGTCAAAGAAAAAGCACCCAAGCAATATCTGTCAGCAACATTGCCCAGCAACATTGCTCAAAAGGTTGCCCTATGTATCATCATCCAAACACAGGGGTGTCAAGCTCCAGTCCTGAAGGGCCAGAGTCCTGCACATTTTTGGGTTTCCCCTCATTAAACACACCTGATTCAATTCCTTGTGCTAATTACCATACAGCACTTGAGCTGTATCATTTGTGGTGGAACAGGGGAAGAACTAAGCTACACAGGGGTCCAGCGCCCCAGGACTGGAATTTGACACCCCTGCTCTAAGACATAAGAATCCTTCAGAGAAGGACCTCTAATTAAGGTCAGATCTATGTCCCTTAGATACTCCAGGTCCTTACAGTTCTGGTTCAATGTTTATACCAATTACATTTTGATTCACTTTAAACTCTGCCTCCAAACTCTGGCTCTGTCATTATTCCGTGTCAGGGTGAGTGACGTCATTAGTACTTCGAGAGGTCGTAAAACCTTTCCTGCGTTTCTCCAGCCAGAAAACACAAGACTCAGACGGGTATTTCCCGGGTAACGGATTAATTGAGGAATATAACAGGTGCCCATGCTTATGCAATCTTTCATCAAAACATCAACCATGAACCTGAAATGATTCAAATAATTACACCGATCACAAGTGCCAGTATTAACATATTACGTTCGCCGTTTGCGAATATTTGGTGACGTAACGAGCGGGCGAATCAACAACGTATTTTTTTTAACTTTGTAGTACTGTGAAATAACACATTTATTGTATCGTTTTTAAAAAATGGGTTATAGAGACGGACGCAAAAAATAGCCTGTGCACGTTGACAGAATCAAGCACGGTTACAGAGTGACTAATGCATAGACCGAGATATATTTGGTGGACAGATAAAATAATTCGTGAAAGTTTCTATAAATTCTGGTGCAAAATAATCCTGGAAAATTCACAGAAAATGCTCACTCTATGTTGAAAAATAACTGCATGGTCTTCAGACAGGGCTGGGCCGAGGCTGTAAAATGTCGGTATATATGCTGGCACGGGCGTGTGGGTGATTATTTATTTGGAGAGAAAAAAAGTCAACAAAAACCAGCTACACAAGGATACCAGATATGAGGGTCTACATACAGTAACGTGAATAAAAAAGGGCAAAACTGTGACTCGTTACCGTTGTTAATTGTTAATGCTGTGAGCAGAGGCATCAACCTTCACGTTGCAAATACTTGTTGGTTTATAACTAGCGATAGCTAACCAAACAAATTGTAACTCTAATACTGTACTCCCTTGTATATCAGTGAAAATGCTTTTCAGCATAGGAAATCATTTTTCACATTTATTAAAAGCATCATATGTTTGTTCAAAGCTACATCTTTTTTAAATTGTGCAGTCTGACTACCAGCACGAGACGCATCCTACAGGAAACAATTTATACTGAACCTAATCGTGCGTCATCCAAGATTATGTATATTTTACATGCCTGTTAGATATAGAAATTTTAATAAGCCTAACTTCAGAGCAGAACCGACATAAATGGATAGTATTGCTTTGCCCACATTTTCCGTTTGTTAAAAAACGCAGGCAAAATTATTAGACGCGGATAACTGGAGATACTGCCATAAGAGCCATGTACAATTACATATTAAATCAGTTTTTCTTTTAAGGTGAGCGTTATTGAGCGTTACTAAACGTCCCAAAAGCCAAAAACATTTTTTCGTAAAGAAATCCACTTGACTGATATTTCATTGATTTTAATTTAATTCAGATCTACATTTTTCTCTGGGACATGCATTTCATTATGTGTGTCGTATGTGAGTTTGAAGTTGCACATCAAAGAACAAATCGCTGCGTAAAGACGAAAACTAGAGAGCGCCGAATGACCACACGGTCGTGCTGTTTTCAATTGATTTCCACGAACGCAGAGCATCATAAACGTTCGCTGGGCAAAAAAAATCTGGAAACCCACATTCAAAAGATAGCCTTTCCAAAAGACTTCCTTCCTAAACTTGAATACCCTAGCCTTTTCAATCAGTCCCAAGTTTAGAAACATCTGGCCTACGCGTAATTAATGCTCAAATAGCGTGTCGACTTCTGCATATATATATATATATATATATATATATATATATATATATATATATATATAGACGAGCACCTCGACGAGAAACAGGCCACGTGATACTCTGAAGTTAAACTGATTCAAATCAAATATTTTTTCGTCCACATGGTAACTACTATCTGTATTTCTATTTATAACGTTGTTCAAACCCTGTTTGAAACACCAGAAGCCTTTTTATGATTATACCCAATACCTACAATATCTGCTGATACAGTGGTCATTTGCAATCGGAAAATTAAGAGATTATTTGAAAAACTTATGTTCTCAGTAAATACAATGTTATCATAATAAATCGTGGGGTTAGGTGTGGTGAGGGTGGGGTATTCGGGGATTACCATTTGTGGTGGGTAAGTAATCCACAATGAAACAAAACTCATCACTATCACAGGCAAATACAATATGAAACGCCTTTTGAAGAGAGTTTAAAATATTGCGGAACTATGAATCTAAAATCATGTATCAGATAGAATGGGTCGTTTTCTCACTGCAAATTATGTACGTGTGGGAGAAGTGACGAATGAGCATGTTCTAGCGGATATGTTTTACCGAATTGTGTTGCCTTTTGTGGCTCATTTATCGGACCCATGACCCAGGTTATTTACCAAGCCGTTTTATTCCTGATCTGCTGATTTTTGCATAAGTATATGGCATGGAAATTACTGTTGAATACGTCGAATCTCTTTTACAATAAGTCAAAAATAAAATATCAAATATTTTGTTCACCTAAATTGCTTCAGTTTCAACTGAAGCCCTTTTTAAATCGACGGTGGCGTTCTACTATGTTACATGGGTATAAACCTTTATAGGCGGGCACAAAAATAAACAAATAAACATTAAATGGAAAAAAATAACAAAGAGAAGATCATTATTATTCAAAATATGACTGTCCATTTAAATTTAAAGCGAGCCAGGAACATAAATTAATAATTTAAATATAAAATGCATGTCTTTATAAACGATGTATTGTCAGGCCTAGAAAATACTTCACTACCAATGCAATTGATTAGCCTAACATTTTACTAACTGCTATTATTTCAAGAAGTGATGCCCACGAATAATCGTAAAACATTCAAACTCACCATAAAGTTAAAATATATGACCATTTGTTTAGACAGTAAACATGCAACACAGATTTACGTGAAATAGTTATATGAATATTCAATTATGAAACTTTGCTCAAGTATTTTACGAAGTGCAATTCTGTCAATTAAGCCAAATTAAACATATATAATAAAACTATGATATTTACCAACAAATCTAAATCATTTGATTTGTTTCCAGCTCCAGTACCAGTGTTTTCATAATGAAATTTTGAATAAACAAATATACACGCCTATGTTATAGATTTGAACTTTGAAAAATTGAAGAACAAATTTCCAAAACTCAAACAATTCTTGTAGCTGTTGAGCTAAGACCGCCAATGACCTAAAGGCATCATATTTTAGAGTATTGGGAACCAAACCACTCAGTCCTCATGTGATCCAACGAAGAACATTAGTTAAATTCACCAAGGACACAGAAATCTCGGCAATATATCCCGTGGAGTTTTGGAGAATCGCTCTTCCGTTTATCATAGATTCGCTCTGCTATTTTTTAAATTGAATGTTGGAGCGGGTATCCATGCATTCCATTTCAAATATAAATATTTTAATTATTTAAATACTGGAATGATAACTGGCAATCCAGTATTATTTGGCCAGAACGATTACTGATTTTTTCAGCAACCGGAAGTATGTTTCATTTACATTTACATATTAAGCAGACGCTTTGTCAAAATGCGACCTGTAGGTAAAGTAAATGACACTTTCCGTTACAGAAATTTCGGCCACTGATGGATGCCCACATCAGGACGCTCGATACTGCAAGCACTTCTTTGTTTAGTATCAAAAGATTGTTTAAACATCACAAAATTAAATTTCACAGATGAATATGTGTATATTTGAAATGGAGAATAGATTAATACACAGTGATTTGACAAATGTTTGACAAATAGTTTCTCTGTCACGAAAGCAATGGTTTTTTATTTACGTCAAAAATTCAGCTCAAAACTCATTACTCTGCATAAAAAAGACAATTGTTTACGTTATTATTTATAAAAGACAGCTAACCCATATTGTTTAATAGTCAGAAGTCAGACTGGTTTAACACTAATCACTTGACGGGCCTCCAATAATTCTGCTCTAAATCATGCTTGTAGGCCTCAAGAAGTTTTATTGGGTTGATTTTTGGAGGTTAAATATAGTCTACCTTTTAATGATTAAAATGCTATCAGTTATGAAATAACATATTGTGATTGATTTAGATGCTTAATATGACTCAGAATACTTTCTAAAATCAGGTAAATAATATATATATATATATATATATATATATATATATATATGATGTCTTATTATGATATATGCATGGTAACCAAGTTAACTTCCGTTCGCGGTAACTGCAACTGTAACCCTGACTCTGGGACGTTCAAAGAGCACTAACCGGGGTCCATGTCCAGAGATTGTGTCGAATGGTCGCCGTCCCCCAAATGCCCGTTGGTCGCAATGTTTTCGATGGACAACTGGAGCTCTTTCTCCTCCCAGCCACGGAGTTTTCTTTTCTTGTTTGTCCCAATCAGTGATTCTACCGAGAAGGCGTGCGCTCTGGAGCTCAGAGCGGCGGCAGATCGCCTTCGCTCACTCATCTCTGTCACAGCAAATCCAGCAAGCAGCAAAACACTTTCCAGAAGGCTAATATGCACAGCAATGATGTTTAAACGTCCGAAAAGCAAGAACACTTTCCAAAAAGCAAAGTAATCCAAGAAACAATGGCTAACGAAAGTTGACTATATTAAAATTCCCCGGTGGAGGGGCTGCCATTCTTCAGCTATCTTGATCCAGCCCAAGAGGAATTTTGTTTTGACGGTACCTTTTTGCCTTTCGAGCCCTTCTTATGTGTCCAGTCTTATTCTTATCCTCGTTCACTCTCTGTCCGACTGGTACGCACTCAAGGAGAAGTTGTCACTCTCGAAGCGCTAAGGGCAACCTTCTCGTCGCCTGTCAAAGCGTGCGCGTCCAATAAGAAACTTGCAATGAGAGGGAACCAAAATATGTTGGCCAATGGCATAAGAGGGAAAACTTCTAATGAAGAGAAGTTTTACCCCGCAACTTGCAGTGAACTAAATGAATCAGGCTGGAGGATCATATTATAATGATTTTATTTTATTATTATTATTTTTTTTTAACTATTGTTGTTGTTACTGTTATTATGTTTACATATTACCACCTGGCATTCGCTGGCAGCAATGCGTTTAGTATTTATAATGTCGTGGAGCTCTGACAAAAAGTTTGTGTTTAAACTCTCCTATACTTTTCTTTGATTAAATGAAAGATTGTTTAATGCGACAGATTGCTATCCAAATGAGCCTACGCGGCAAATAAATGCATGTGTTGTCCTACACGCAAAAAACAAACGCAAACAGCATTTTGAATAATTCGTTAACTTCATCATGGTTGGACATTCACCGCATACTTACGTTATATAATGTACGTTTCTATATAAGTTTAAACACTTAAGACTGGTAAATAAAGTATTATAAACGGCACACAGGGAATAATAATATATTTATTATTATTATTATTATTGTTTCTGTTGCTTTTTAATAAATTAAACATATAGGTCTGTATAAAAATATACTTGAACAGAATGTAAAACCACCCCAAGCGGAAAACGTATTACAATACGCATTATTAGATTTTTTTTTGTAATTACAATATATTTGGAATATATTTTACAGAAAGTTTTCCGCTTACATGCTTTCCACATATGCTTATTACGATTTAAATACTTTTAAATATATTTATTTAAACATATGGAATTGCTTCCAAAATATCATGCACAATAGTGTCAGCATATTTAAATATTTTAAGTAAAAATGAACATGTTTTTTTGTACGACTCTATAATTGCTCTAAATATTCAGCTGAGATTTTCTTTGGTTTCGGGTCCATTAGACTATTGGGTAAATTATAATAATACGCGCAATAATAGTCAATAGGAACTTGTAAAGAATTCGGTATATATCTCCGACCACGTTGGTTACACCACTTAACCAAAATAGGCCTAAATACGAAAATTGTTAGCGGATCGATTCATTTTAAACAATTTGATCGGGCACTTACTAATCGATCTTTCTCTCTGTCCGATCAAAAAACGACACCCAGACCTGAGAGCAGAGTAACCATAAAGAGGCCAGACGTGCGAGCTCGTACTAATGCGCTGCATCAGGTAATCTGCTGTTGATGCCAAACCACGGACATTATCTGCTGTGACCAACAGACCTTCGTATATATGTTATTAATGCGACCGGAGTTGGTCTAATATGCATTTGGGCCAACTTGGTTAAAAAAGGTGCTGTAATGAAATCAAATCCGATTGATTTACAGATAAGTAACGGAACTAAATGACAATTTTTGTACACCAGAAGTGAGAGGAGTTAAAAACAGATATTAAAACTGGATAAGAGTAAAATGTTAATGTAGGCCTACATTGAAGTCAACGTAAACAGTTGTGCTGTGTGTCTATATACTAAGTTACAAATAAATAAGGTAGTATGTTTCATTTAACTTTTGAGGAGCGAGTTATTTAATCAGAAGTCAGTTAAAACTATGTGTAATGATTACTGTGTTGTCATTATTACATTGTGTTATCTATGTATTTGAGAGCGATCATCCCGCCCGTCATTTCCGGGATAGGCTCGAGACCCAGAATATCCTGAATATCACAAGCGGTGTAGAAGATGAATGAATGAATGAATGAATGAATAAATTAATGAATGAATCCCACTTTCAAGTGTCTACATCATTGTTTCTGTCCCATTAACATGGGCGCTCCTTTGATTTGACCCTTAGGGGGTTTGGCCCCATAGAAATAAGGGACGAAATCGCTAAAAGGATTTAGAATATTTTTTCGGGGCGGGTGGGGGGGCTGACACAAACAATAAAGTAATTGAAACCCCGCTAATTAGGGTCTAGAATCGCATGTGCCTAATTGTATTTAAGGTAAAACTAGTTGTACACTATAACAGAAATTATGTTCATTTTATTTTAATTTTGGCTTTGACAAACGTTGTTCAGATTATGTGCTCCTCCCCATTGTGATACCGTTTGAAGTTTTTGTGTTTAGTTCGTCAATGTCCTTAACCGATATTTGCAATATAATACTTAAACCATGTATCAAATTAAACAAATCTAAATATCTTTCTTACTGGATATACATATTAGATAGTACAGTTAAATAGTTACAGTTAAAATTAAAAATAGGCTAGAATTGTATCATTTTAGAAATACGCATTTTGAAATATCAAGATTTGAGTACGAAACACAGTTACCAACGGTTTCCACACACTTCTTAAAAGGGGCAGTAAAATAGACACATGCATTAAGCAAAATCAAATGTGACTCACGATTGATAAATTTCGTTTCGAGCCTAAATATATTGATGCTACTTATAATCAGAATACTTTTATTATCCCGGAGGAAACTGCTTAAACTACGGTGGTTGGGAGATGGAAGCGAAAGTTTGCAGGTGTATTACATGGCCGTTTAGGAAAACGACGTGCGCAGAAAGTGTGCAGTTTTCGTCTAATGAACATTTTACCGTTTACAACTTCATAAAGCACAGGAAAACCTAATTTGGGGCAAGAAGATCGACACCCGATTGACAACATCACGGACTAGAAAATATTTTAAGACTAATATTTTAAAAATGGTTTGAATTTCACTAGTGCAAACTTCTCTGGTCGGTAAAGTTCACGTCAATGCGGAAAGAGCATATTCATGACCAAATATGTGATTGAACAGTGAACATATATTCTGGCATGAATATTTCACAAAATCCATTATTTACAAATATTTGTATGATGACTCTGTCTATGCATTTTTAAAAATGTTTTTAAAAGTTTATATGCAAGCTTTTAGGACAGTGATTCAGTTTGATTGCCGGTTTATGTTGAAATTGCATAATTGCATTTAAGGCAAGATTTTGTATATGACTAGTTAGGCTATAACAAGTGACTATAAATTATATCTTTTCGTACGCTCAGCACATGCTCAGTATTTCAAGCCATTCGGTGTCTCGGCGCCGGCAAATGAATCCGTCCAATGATATAATATTTACTAACAGAAAGTGTTTCCAGGGCTTAGGCTACCTGGCGAACGACGAGTAAGCCTACTCAGAACAATTCAGGCCAAAAAAGGAAATTTAACACATTTTAGCTGTATGTTAAATAAATAAATAAATACAATTGACACATATCATTTATATCGTAAACATTGGTTATCAAAAGCAGAAAGAAATATTTTGAATGGGTACATTGGGAAAATAAAGGTACAGAACGAACCCGATTAGTAATGTATAATGTGAGCGTTATACGTGCCAGTGTCACTACGGTGAAAAGTCAGAACGATTATCGCTTCTTATAGGATTAAAAGAAGCAGTGAAAAATATTACATTTGTCTTTTTAACACCGTCTCAGTTTAATATTCTAACAATGGTGAAACATTTAGTTTAATCTGTCCCATAGGACAGTAAATTTGACGTCGGAGGCAGGCACGATAAAAGCGTAATACTGCTGTCTATTGAAAACCTTAAGGTGAAAATCAAGGTAATTGGTCACATGTCAAAGCCCTCACTAGTGTGACGTCAGGTCTGCCAAGTTATAAGACCGGACACAGCACTGAGTCCTCAGAAAAATCTTCATGTGGTTTTCATATTTAAAATCACAATGATTCGGGCCAGTTTGTTGTCTGTATGGATACGAGGGCCCTGAGAAAACCTTTGATGTTATCACAAAAAACGAAGACATTACATTTTAAGTTTTAATATAATGTATGGCAGATCGAAGTGCTTACATTTTAAATTTTAAACTGTTTTTTCCCGAATGGTTGAATCTCAACAAAGCTGAAATTTAATATTGCTCTTCATAATGGTGCAGCAAGACCTGTGTAATTTGTATCATTACCCCAAAACGATAGAAAAATGGATATTCGAAACTGATTTCTACAAATTAATATTTTTCATTTCCAGTAAGCATCACGTGCAACGTAAATACAAGATTAAATTGGCCCACAACTGAATAATTTATTATGATTTATCAATCTGTCTCCAAATTGAGAACCGTCAGCGAAGAATACAAATCCGGCTGTGTGTGTGTAAGAATTTCTATGGCTAGAAAAAGAAAGCTAAGGGGCGAATACTTCGGGGCCTAATCTACCACAGTCGCGCTGGTAAATACTGTACGTTTCCCCTTGTTACGTTTGTCCTGCCTTTCCCAGCTGATAGACTGTACTTCTATCTAGTTAATTAAATAGCTTGTATCACTGGATGCATTATGTTTACAAACGTAATCTTAGTTTGTTTTCTGCTCTTTCGTGTCGACTGCATCATCTTCTTCACCACATGTTCCAAATGCCTGGGTTTACGGGCCCCCAACTTTTTTTTTCCAACTGATTTAAAGCAGCGGAAATTTAGAGTGGCAGAAGTTACAGTTCCTTGAGGCAAATTTCTCTCTGTGAGAAGAGGAACCCAAATAACGTGTTCAGTGACATTACTGCTCAGGAGTTCCGTGAATTAGCCTCAATGAGCTGTTATAGTGCCACCATGTGGTCAGCCTGTGTGCCACATCCGCAGTCAGTTATTGGCAACTGACAAAGAAACACAGCTATATCGGACAATTGACTTGCACACAGGAATGTAGGACCCAGTGGGAACGGGCCGTGTTGGCTTCATTTACCACCACCACTCCCCCCCCCAAAAAAAAAAATCAGACCCTTGCATTTAAATAATGAAGGTGTGTCTCCCCTTCCCCCCCAAAAAAACAAACTCTCTGCCACGCCCTTGCTAGAACATGACTGTCATTATAAAGACATGATTCCCATTATAAAGGACAGTTATAGCCTACCTCCGGTTGAAAAGGATGAATTAAAAATAAAACTT